GTGTATTCAGGCTTAAACTAAATTGGGGGTATTGAACAGGAGGATTAAGGGTTTTGTTTCAATTTTTCCACCTCGGTCATAGAACAGGAGACACATATTCGAGGGGATTTCATGCACAAGAATTTCCAATATCACTCTTTAAATGTCCCTCAGTCTCTAATATTGAGTCTGGCAGCTCCTGACACGGATCAATGTGTTAAGACGTGGTGGCGTTCTGTCCACCAGCTGGTTGATGGTGTCAGGACGTCCCACTCTTCAGTCACAAAGTCAGAATTGGTTTCACCTGGTAACTGAGACTCAGCATGTAATCATTGCACCTAATCAAAAGTGATTACTGATGTGTATAAATAGAAATAAAAAGAGCAATGTGTCTGGAAACAACAATCGTTCCAGCTTTACGGGGAAAAAAATATATATATATATATGTATATATATTTACCATTACCATATTTAAAGCAAACATGCCTGTGTTTTGGACTATTGGTGGGACAATAAAAGTGATTTGAATCCTGATTTAAATAAAATAAAACAAAACAGGAGAACATTATATCCACAACAAAAAAAAAGCAAATGTAATGCAATTTAAAAAAAAATACACATCTGGAATTGTATTTTTGTTCTGATTCACAAGTCAGAATGAGCTTCTTTTAAAAACGCACCTGAGTGATCTTAATTCATCACAGAAAACTGGTTCAGTGGAGAATCTCTCCTCTCAGTGACTTATAGAAACATTTAGAACTGCCGTTACCCTCTACAGCAGGAAGGGCGAAATATCCAAGACCTTTATAAATTACGTTTAGGACTATTTCATTCTGCTTTAATCCTTTTTAGGGACCCTCAAGACCTGACAATTTATATGTGTTACTGTATCATTTCCTTGGCAGTGTTAGAAGAGTCTTACAGCGCCTCTAAAGTGTTCAAGAATGAATGAAAGTGAACCAAATCAGAAAGAGGGAGTGAGGGATGAAGAGAGATAGATGGTCGACGGGCAAACAGACAGAGAGAGAGAGTTATTAATCTCAGCCTTTATTATCATACTCATCTCTTTATTGACTCAGTCTTTTCCTCTATCTGAGTCGCTCCACAGACTGTGATAGAGATTAGTCCGTGGGTATGGAGAAAAAATAATGATATTGGAGGATATTACAGATATTGACTGTTCAATATGCGTAGATCCAGTCAGCAATCATTCATCGAAGGCATATTTCACATTCAGCGTGACGCCTGTGATGAAGTGGACCTTGGCAGGAGGGAAGGGAGGAGGCCAATGGGGGACTGAAAAGACTCTGAGAGCAGCCTGAGGGCTTTGCATGTGAGGTGCAGAAATGTTTTCTTATGCCTCTTGATTATTTTTCCTCTGGGCCTGAATTCCCCTCCAGGGCAGTGCCCCCACTTCCTTGTGGAATCCAAATTGATTGTACTGTGGCCTGAATCTTCGGCGCTCCGTCCCACTGCAAACAAGCGTGGCCTTTCAGCGATACACTGGCCGGGGCTGAGAGGGTGGGAGAACTGCTGACATGAAGTAATGAAACAAGTCCGGGACCACCACCAGGCGCTGTACACGAGGACAGCTTGACTAAAGAGGTCTGTGTGTGTTTCTCTTTGAAGCCCGTCTTCAAAAAAAAAAAGTCTCCAAGTGGGCAATTCATCATGCGCACAGCTTGCTACAAGACCATGGGAGGAAACCAATCTCTTAGACCATTTTCTTTGATGACAAAGTACAAAACAGAACTATGTGATGTCTTCCACACCTGTGCATTTGCTATCCAGCATGAAAATACCATAACTAAGAAGTCACGATGGAACCAGTCAAACGCATGACATGAAATCTGAGATATTTCAGAGTGATGTCTGCAGTAGTCATGCTTCCTGCTCTTCTCAGTAAACGCCATAATCAGAGAGTCATGTGGGGCTACAGGTCAGAGGACCACGCTCTCCGTCTTCATATCCTTGAAGAATCAGCAGGGTGAAGAGGTGGGAGGAAGGGCTTTCCCACTGTGACTTCACATTTAACAGCTTTGTATCTGAACACAGAAACACTCTCATTACTAATACTGTAAAGACATGAGGGTCATGTTCTGCATCTGAAGTCAGTTGGACCATGGATGTGAACAGATCCCCGCTATAGCCACGACACTGGAACACAACACTTCATTGGTGTATTCAGGAACTGTGTGGTTTGTGAACTGACCCAAAACACAAAAGTGAAATGATTCATTTTGCTGAATGTGTCCATCAGTTAATTCTCTGAGGCTCAACATGTAACGTCACCGAGTCTGATGCAACGCAAACGAAGCCCAACGACGCTCCATTCATCTTAATGACCATACAGCGTCATCATTGGACGCTCCGTGCTCAGTAACCTTCAGACCTTGAAGTCACGTTTCAATAACCGCTACAGCCCGGTTCTGGTGCAGGGACACGGGTTGCTTTGAGTATTAGTGTATTACTTCCACCATTGCTGCTCCCAGCCTCTGGAACTCACTCCCCAAAAGCATCCACCTCACTCTCTATGTTCACCTAATCTATAAAGACACATCTTTTCAACACTGTCTACAACTCATAACTATTTTTCATCATGCCATTTCCCATTATATTTTATTTAGTTTATTTATTCATTTGTTTGTCTTGTTTGTGTTCTTATCTTATATTCTTGTAAAGCATCTGTGTCTATGTATTATTAATAACAATATTATTATTATGTAGGTGTTTGAAAGAACAATCACTATGGAGGTCCATAAACATGCTGTTTTCAGTCTTGTAAATAATTTATCTCCACAACGTTGTGATATGACTACATGAGGTACGGCTACATTGGAAATGATGCTGAGGAAGAGTGGGGTCAGTGTGTCCACTGTTTGCATCAGCATTAGAATGGCACATCTATTACGCACACCGTTAATGAGGTTGTCAACGCTATGAGAACAATGGAGATGAGATATTAAACTATTTCTCTAAGTCAGAAAAGAAGACCGTGTGCATGCTGCATTTATATTTTTGTTCAGGAGAAGGAGGTGAAATGATCTGTTCTGACACCCACATCGCAAAATGTACGAAGCCACTTAGACGACAGAATGTGTGAGTTTCCCTCTCTTGTTGTGAGTGTGCAAAAAATTCAGGAAGCAGCTTCTTTGGAGATGATTGGTTTTGTTGCTTTTAAAAAAAAGAACATTGGCGGTTCGATGGTCAATAGTCTGTACTTATATAGCACCTGTCTACCTTAGTGAATCAGCCTTTCTCACACCACTCAAACCTGCCACTGGGAGCAACTTGGGGTTCAGTATCTTGCTCAAGGACACTTGCATGTGGGGGGGCAGGGATCGAACCACCAACCAACCGATAGACTTTATAAAAGATGGACGTAGCTACCATGACGTCACCCGTTTGTTTCTGCACTGAGAAAATGAAACCAGGGTTTTGCTACTTCCTGGTTGACATCTTGGATTTTTGGAGCCAGTGACGCAAAAATCGTGGGAGGGGGGCGGAGCCATAGGAGCGGCGGACCTCTCTGCCCCGCCCACATTTACCGCCTTCTGCTCGCTTCATCTGTATGGTCACTGCCGACTGTCAATCAAGCCAGCCACGCCCCTTGCCCCGCAAAATGTTGACGATTCTCAGATTGGCCACCTGATCTCTGGATTTGACCATGAAAACTAATAAGAAAAAAATCCTGAGCTGTAGGAATGCAGTATTTCATGATCTGTGATCACTTCTTTTCCAATTCCAGTCTATGGGAGCCAGGACTTTGTGGAGCCAGCAGCTAGTGGACGTAGTGATATTGCAGGTTTTTGACACTTCCGGGTTGGCTTCATTTCTCAGGGCTGGTTGCTACG